TGTGGAACTCCTATAGAGGTGCTTTCACTTATCTCTTGCTTAACCTTACTGTATTCAAACTGTATCTAGTCTGTATCCCCACTGTTGCTAGGATATATCCTTGTATCATTATTTATCTTTATTTGTCATATGATTCCTCTGCAATTGAAGTAATTCCAAATATTTAATTTATAATTTTTCAAATTATAAGTAACATACTTGAAACCCTAAATAGATAAAAAGGTCAGATCTCAATATACATCTCCATCCATGTAAATTTATTACACAATGAAAAATCAAAATAATCTCAAAAATAAATGGATTGAATCCCTATCCTAATAACAATATATTATTTGATTCAGGTTATTTATGACATTGCTGAGTATGAATTCTAATGAGAATATAAATATGTATTCTCCTTCACAAATCAATTCATTTTTATTGAAAAATTTATTCTTATTTGACTCCTGTTTTATGAAGATTCATACTCTATTCTCCCTTGTGGTTGCTGTTCCAATCTCAGTTATCTAAACCCCTAGGTGTATGTGTATATTTAATTTTATAGATTTTGAATTATCTTTATGAGGATGAGAGAATTCAAATTGTTATATCTGGGAGACCCTTAATGATGTTCAATTTTGACATAATGGTATTACCAATAACTTGCACTTTCACACATAGTTATGATAATTCATGAAGGTAAATTTTATTCAAAAATAAAAACAGTCCTCATATTATTGGCTTTATTGATGAAGATATATGATTCTGTCATAATTTTTATCTTAATTTTATTATGGATTACTTCTCCCTTCCAAACAACATCACAATAAGCCAGGTTTTTTCTCAATCTAAATTATCATTCACAGGCAAATGAAAAATACCATAAGACATGAGTGCTTGATCCCTTCTCAAGGCTCATCTTGTATACTTCTAGAATTTGAAAACAACAAAGCTGTGTTGTGTTGGTCCAGCATATTTGATAATACTCAAAAATCTAAACCACTCAAATCAGTAACAATTTTATTCTAATTAAAACAAAGAAGAAAAAAAAATTCATCTACCATCCCCAGCAATAGGTAAGTATACTGAACTCAATAGCCCAATTTAATGAAATTAGATTTTGTTCCATTTCCTCTGTAAAATTGTTTGTTTTCATACTTGGTTTTTTCCAAGCCTTTTTCTGAAACCAGAATTTCGAGGCTCATTATGTTTCTTCTTCCAATTAATAATGTAGATTATTCTCAGGAGTAGGCTGAGGCATGGAGTGTGTCATCAGCATTCCAGAAAGAAAATATATGTTTTAATTCAAATATGTCAAGGGTTTCCTATCATACATATTTCTCATTTCCTGCTCATCACCACTGGGTAACGAAGTATGACTGTAAATATAAATTTTCCAACTTTGAAAGCCTCAGGATTTTTGCCTAAAATCCCTGGCCACTTTAATTGATTCTTTGGAAATTTTTACATTTTGAGGAGAAATATTTCTAGGAATTGAAAAAACAATTGTGCTATGATCTCAGAAAAACTCATGAGTTTAACTCTCTTCCAGTTGCAAAAAGTGGGCAAGGACTTTTGATTTTCATACTGTGATTTAAGTAATCATTTGTCCAATTCATTATTTTTGAACAATTTCTGAGTTCAAGTTTGCTTGACAGTATTTCACAGGCATTCGAGTAATTATTTTATTGGGATCTGATACACCATCTCATGATTAGCTCCTTGGTTTGTTTTGTTTTTCAAAAACCAGTGATTATGTGAATTTAATTCAGAATGATTGGTATTGATAGCTATCACTGGTTAATTGGGATGCACAAGGGGGAAATAAATCAATATCAATTATAAAACTTTGATATGATCCAAACCCTGATTCCTGTAATAGGTGTTTCCTATCCTTTGGTCAATACAAGATAAAGCTTAGAATAAATCTCTCTTAAGAGTAAAACCTTTTCGTTAAGGTTTTCTTTGTTTTTGTTTTTTCAAAAGCTCAAAATTTATCAGGGATGAGAATTTTAGTCATGAAACAGAGTTCAAAATTCCATTTTCTTGCTATACTTACTAATGCAACTGTACAAAATCTCTATTCGCGAGATCTGGAAGAGGAAACAGGAACTAATACTGATCTTCCATATTCAAACATCAGATCAATACGGGTTAGGTATTTTTTGGCTTAGCAAGAGGATCTGGTCTGATTAACTGCATGAAGCAATAAATCTTTATTTCTCCAAGCAGCAGATAAGGAGAATATTTCTTTCCCTCCTTTGCTTTTCCGAATACAAATGCGTTGGTCTGGAGGAGATCGGAGGCATGTTTTCAAAATTAAGACCGCCGGTCTTATTTCTGAATTACCGGAACCATTTAATTTGTAATCGCCGGTATTCAAGCAATTAAGCCCGCCGGTCTTAATCTGTTTGGTCAGAAATGAACCATCTGCTCTCGTTGCTTGATCGCAACTGCCTTGTCAGTGCAAAAGCGATGGGATGAGGGGAATCTTTCCTTTTTTTCTGATTTAATAGACATCGAGGATCTGGTTTGAGGCAAGATAAATTGGAAATATTGGCCTTCATCTCCTGCTAGGACCAATCCATCTAATTTGTTGGGGGTGGGAGAGGGATTCTTTTTTTTCTTCCTTGACCGTTATAAAATTCAATTTTTTTTGTCAGAAGATATTCCAGGACCAGTGAAACTCATCACTCATGAATTTACAAACCACAAGACATACACATCTTTTTTCACCAAGCAAAGTTGAAGTTTCTGCCCTTCAGCTTCTTAGCCCTTTGAAGATGCTCTCAGAAATTTTTGCTTTCTTTCTACACTACTTTGAATTATTCTATGTGTTAATTAAAATCTGAAAAACTAGTGTTAGAGTCTTTTATCCCATATTAAGAATTCCAGACATTATGGTTAATTTCAAAGCCTGACTGGGTCTACATAGATTTTGATTGATGTTGTATCAGTTTGTGTTGAAATTTCACACTCATAAATAAGTTGGTGCACAGCAATTCGCAATCAAATGAGGCAATTAATCTTGACTCAGCTCAAAAAGTTCCAAGCACCATTTGGAAACAGGCTTTTGCTGTTTTGATTAGGAGAAGTGATGTGATTTTTTGACCAAGAAAGAAAACCAATTTCATGTTTCAGATGATTAATATTTTGATAGAAATTGAGTGTTTGAATGGATTGTTTTTGAACAGATGATGGTGCCTTTTTGTTTTCAAAAGGGGATCCAAAAAATATTTCAAATAATCCATAACTATCTATCACAGATATTTCTAAATGATGTGACATTTCTATCTTTTGAGTTAAAGTTTGAGTGAAGAAAGATCACTGATTGTGAATCTTCTGGGGGTATGGCTTGTAGTTGTTTTTGAGATAAATTAGCATACAAATGTCTGGATTTTCAATCTTACACAATTGTACGAGATCTAATTGTTTTCATCAAGTCATGATTCTGGACTGGTAATTTCAAGTCTTTGAGTTAGGGTTATTAGGAAAGGGAAAGATTTAGTATGTGAAATTTCATAAAAAAGGCTACTGTAATCACTCAATATTTTCAGGTTTTTCTGAAAATCTTACCTTGAAATTTGCTTCCAAATTGAACACATCATTATTTAGCCTCAGAAATCTTCAAAAAAAAATCTGATGGATTCCAGAGCTTAAGACTACCCAGCTGAGATACAGAAGTAGATATGATGTATGCTTGTATAGGATACAGCACATATACAACTGGGATACAGTTGGGATATACAAAAACCACCTCTATATTGGTTCCAACTTTTTTTTCCTGGTGTTTGGGATCCCAGGAGCTCGCGACCGCAAGCTTTATGGGAACTGCTGTATATCCGGGGTGGTAAGCCCCATATACCACCCCAACTCCCAAAACACCCGCCACCGCGGGTGGTATACAGGGTGGTAAGCAACATTTTCCGTCCGAAAAATGTAATGAGGTGGTATATCTACCACTCGCGTACCACCCCAGGTACCTCTCGCGCATGTGTGAAACCACCCATCCCGCTTGTGAAACCCCAATATGTACAACCCTTTCACATACCAATATCCCTCGCTCATCCAATCCTCAGCAAAGGTTTACAACTTTACGGTGGTGCACCTGCCTGATCTGAGGTGGTAATCCTGAAACTCGGGTGGTAAATCCGGCTTATACCACCCCGGATATACCACCTGCGCTGGAGTTGCTCTTAGTCTGCTTTCTTCCTGATCTCATTTCTCACATGTCACATTCTGTGACATGCACTTGTTTTCTCTCTTCCTCTTATACTGGATTCATCTGTGTGTGGTAGGACTCCTTTTTTCCTCATCCTTCCAACACATTTGTCTCCAGGTATGTTTCTCTCCTTTTCTTTCTTTCATCTTTTCTCTATGTTGAAATGATTAATGAACCCATATCCTTCCAACACATTTGTCTCCAGAGGGTCCATCTCAACAGTAGCTTTCTTTTTCACCTGTAACAGTTCTTCAACTAGAAGTAACTCAATCCATCTTGCTTCTGCTCCAATGTTTTTTACACAAGCCATAGGTTTTCTCATTCTACTTGTCAATGCTGCTTTTACTTGCTTGTGAGTAAAGCACCTCCAAACATAAAAAGACATCTGCCCTACACATGAGTCTGCAAAAATGTAGCCAATAGCCCAGACGCCAACACTTCAACACATGTATTGTGAATTGTTCAGCAATGCACTTTCACTTAAGGGTTTGAAGCTTAGTAGAATCTATGACCAATTGATTCAACTTGAGCAACCACAAAAATGCACAAAACCCATTAGGGGGGTTCACGATAGCTTTTTTGGCTACTGGCCCCCCATAAAAAAATTCTTGCTGGTGCTGATTTTCTGTTAAATTTTATGCTAAAATTCCGAGCAAAATTTTGACCAACATCCATAAACGCTTGTTGGTCAATAAATAAATTTAATCACCCACATTTGGCCCCCCTGGCTTATCATCTGTGTGACATCGGCCATTGCCTCACGTGATACAGATCGTCACACTTCCTTCGGGTCTTCGATCACACCTCCCTCTCACATATCAACCACTGCCCCACGATTGCCCCTTACTGGATCGGCCCTTACCAGACTAGCCACTCATGTCCGTCAGTCAGGTAAGCCAGTTGCACTTTTTCCTTGGATGTCTCTGTGATGTAAAACTGATCATGACTTTCTACTCGATTCCCTGGCCAGCTTGATCCAACCCTGTTAACACTTAGCCCATTAAGTGACCGTTTGGCACCCCCTCCTCCTGGAAGTCAGGCAAGCGGCCCCGATGTGACAGGCCTCACCCTTGCTTCCGACCTTTCGAATGTATCTGGAGCTCAATCGCCTCATCTCAACACAACGGCTGAATTGGCTGGTGGGAAGAAGAAACGATACCGCCGAACTCAGAAGGAAATGGCAGCGTTTCGCTCAGAGCAGGCCAATATTAAAAAGATCAAGGCCCTCGAAAAAGCGAAGGAGAAGCGGGCAAAAAGCCGTGGTCGTGGTGGTACTCGTCGTTTAACGCACACATCGGCCTCGGAACAATCACAGGCCAACTTAAATCAAGGCTCGGCCCCGGTGACATCACAGCCATTGGTCCCGGACCCCAACCCTCCATTCAACTCGGATGACTATGAGAATGTGTGTTCGTACCTCGAGGAGGAAGCGAACTATACTAGGCTCTATGGCGATGGTTCAAAGACATCGGTTGGGAAGAATAAGGTTACTAAGGGTGCGGCCTATGACATGTTTGCAATCTTTATCAACAGCAGTTCCAACCTTCGGCTTCGTCTGACTGGGAGCCAACTTCGCCAACGGATCGATGGGTACAAGAAGCGATTCATGAAGGCCAAAGACTTCGCCGAGAACACCGGGGCTGGAATTGAAGAAGGCGATGGCCTACCGACTCTCGCCGAGCTGCTCGAGAAGAAATGTCCGTGTTATGAACGGATGTACGCTATATTTGGCGCGAAGGCGAATGTGACCCCTTTGGCGCAGTTTGACTCCGGTGTAGGTGCCAACCTATATGCCGATGCTTCGAACGTGCGGGACGGTGAAGAACCGACTTTATCTCCGGAGGTCTTCTACTCGGGATGGGAAGAGAGCGAAGTGGATCAACCCCCTTCGGGTGCAAATACCCCCGCGGCCGGCCTGGATTTGACCCGCTGTCGAAGCGCGATCGCTCACCTCACGAGCCTTAATATCCCCAACTCAGATGCGGAGGGGGACCTGGACGATGATCTGCTCCCCCCGCCCCTGGACTTCAGTGGGACCGCGATGGATCCCTCGCCCAGCCTGATGACTCAACGATCGATTGCACGGGCCACTCAAGGTTCTGCTAATCCAGCGGCGTATAGTGGGGCATCGGTACCTTCGGTCTCCCAGTTAACCACTCGAGACCCAGGGGGTCCTTCCCCAGCAAACGGGGTTAGTACCAGCCGCCGCGCGTTTGCTAATCAGCGATCGACAGAAGCCAGCCCTGCGGGACCGGTCCGAGAGGTTAATGGGAAACAGAAAACGACGTTGGCTAGTGCGTTCGAAAGCTCAAACACTGAGAAATTTGCATATCTGAAGGCGCACATGGAGTGGGAGAAGCAGAAGGAAGATAACCGACTTCAGTGGGAGAAAGAACGATACAATAAGGAGGCCCAACGAGCGACCGAGGGGGCTCAAGGACTAGCTAAATTGGCCGAAACAAAGTTGAACGCCGCACAGATGTGGATCAACCAAGGCAAATCGTCGGCCGAGGTTGACCTCCTCTTGAAGGCAATCTATGGATGAGGATATCTGAGGTTGTGAGTCATCTTCCTTCTTCGTTACTAAACATGCGGCAATGAGGCTGACAAGGTCCTCCTGCATAGTGATTTTAGCATAGTATTACGGATTTGCACATGGCTTGATTACTCGGGTCGCTGGTCTGACCAAGCAGCCTTTATTGGCCGGTCAGCTAGAAGTCATCTGGATCTTGTTTTCTCTGTTGATTTCCTCTTGTTATCTCTTTTGATTTCCGTCTATATACCGGAAGGCTGGTCTGCCCAAGCTGCCATTAGTGGCTCATCAGCTGGATTTTGTTCTCCGATTTTGTTTTCCATTTATCTCATCTGTCTGATCTCATGTCGCCCGGGCCGAGATGTCCTATGATGTTACTTAACCGTTGTGCAATGCGACTCAAATCACGAGGCGGGGAATTGCCTCCCATTCATGAGTCGGCCCGATTCACAGCTGTTTCCGTTGTCTGGCCTTGTAAATGTCCTGTATCATACAGGATGGGTAGGCCTTAGCCGGGAGATAAAGGTGACCCGGCCTGGGTTTCACTTGAGGTAGTGACCCACTACCTCACATACTCATCCACATCACCCGACCCCCAATGTCATCGGCACGACCTTTCCAGCGCAGGAGGGATCCACCATGGGATCTAGACGGAATCAACCATGGCCCCTCGAGCAATGCCATCTTACTCCAGTGGATCTCCACCGAAGACAACTACCGCCGATGGGACCGTACGACTTTTGACCCAACCGAACGGCTGAATATCTGCGAGGAGATTGTTCGGCACATGCAAATGCAGGGAATAGCCCATCGACACGCCAGGGGTAAGATACCATCAAATAAACCGCCTGTCTCCTCGCACTTACCACCTCTCCTACTTTATGGTTGTCATAGGCATCAACACCCGCATTCAAATATTGCGACGGTCTTACAACACCGCACGTGAATTCGTCAATCATGCCAGAGGAAATACCAATGAGATCGCCCCCGTCATTTTAGGTTAGTGGAAATCCTGATTTCTTCATGTACAGCGGTGAGGATGCAACAGAGAAATGACTTCTTTCGCGCTCATCACATGATTGCCACCTAGGATATGCCCGGAGGGTTTGCCCATATTGGGATATCCTGGACCCCGTGATGGGGGGGCAACACCTCCAATCCCATCAAGCCTACACAATGGCCGACAGCGAGACGTCCTCAGACACCGACTCAACCAACACCACATGATAAAGAAGCAACAGAATTAAAAATATAGTATTGATACGTTGATGAGACTAAGTAAAAGATTGACTGAATTCCTAGTTAGAAGCAAGAGACCGAAAAAGAAGAATTCAGAGGTGAAGCCTTATGTGACAATAAGTGAGATAGAGCCGATCAGATTAAGATTAACTAAATTGGCAAAACGCCCAACGAGTAGTTGATATCTAAACAGTTAGCCTTGACTACATCCCGAACCTCTTGAGCTGTTTCTTCATTAACACCGGGCCCATCTGATCCTGGATGATCATTGATGGAGACATCCAACTCAGCCCATGCGTCACCAAGATGGGCCAGGATGTTGTGCAATGTAACACAACAATTGACCCATCTAATCACTTCCATCATGTCCGAAGGTTTTTGAATCGCCAGTCGTAGATGTTGAAGCGATGCCCATCGTCCTTTGAGGATCCCTATTGTGTGCTCATTCCGAACGCGAGACCTTGCAAGACAGTAGTTGAAGTCAGAGTTTTCCTTGATGTAGGCCGCAGGAGCTTTGTACGCAGGGATGCAGTGTACACCCAACTCGTACGCCGAGTCCGCAATCAGATATTGTCCTGCAGGAGAGCTCCCAATCGGTCAGTTACAAAATCACACAGATCTTCATATAATTAGCACAAACCTCGATCAAAGAACAAAGTAGGCTCCTTATGGAGCATCATCCGTTTAAAGACCATACTATCGCCACAAGAACCCGGCCAACCGGTCATGAAGGCAGTGATGAACCGGTCACAGTCGCACACCACCTGACAATTGATCGAGTAGCGCTTCTTTCGATCAAAGAAGACTTCACCATCGATCGAGGGGCGCTGATAAAGAGGTATAGTTGTTCCGTCGACAAAACCAACACATCCTTCGAAACCTTCACACTTCATCACATCAGATATCTCCTTTCGTCGAACCTCGTCTGGCCAGGTAAGGTACTTCTCCGAAAGATCGTTAATCGCGCGGATGACTCGGCGACTGGCCTTGACCACAGTACCGCGGCCCACACCCAAATTCCTTGAGAATCGCCCCACCGAGGCCCCATTCCCGTTTGAACCAAGCCTTTCGAGAGTGAGTGCTAGTTGGTGAGGGATCGGCAGTTGCGGGCGAAAGCTGTTGCTATGAAATATAGGGTTTAAATTCACTTGGCTTAAAAGCCATGTAAAGCCGGCCTTGGTGGTACGGACCGCCTGCTTGAAATCCTCATCTCGCATATCAAAAAGCTGAGCCAAATCGAATTCCTCGCGCATCCTTGGGGGCAATCGGGTATGTAAGTACCGACTCGATAGGACCACCTGCAATAGATCCGATACCATAGACTCGTCGCCAAACATAACATCTAGTAACAATGCGCGGCCGGGATTATCGGGGGCAGCGATCCTTCCAAGGGAGGGGAGAACAGGAATGTTGATGGTAGAATCAAGGAGGTCGTCGGTCTCTTGCTGGTGGAGGAATACGAGCATCATGAACAGATCTCGGAGAATCTGTTGTCGTTCACTGTATTGATGCATCAGGGAGTTGATCGCAGGCGGCCAGCGTCGGTGAAAAACTTTGGTGAAGCGATGTGAAAGCCGTCAGTAGAGTGACCAGTGTAGCCAGGGTATCGGGCCAGCGTCGGTGAAAAAAATTGGTGAAGCAATGTGAAAGCTGTCAGTAGAGTGACCAGTGTAGGCAGGGTATCGTGAACACCCCTAATGAGGAGTCTTACTCGTGATTATTTCTTGTGTGTTAAAAATCAATTAAAATCTTAACATGCGCAGCATGCGCAACCTTGCTGGTGGGTGATTAAGCTTTGCTGGTCAAAAGCTATCATGAACCCCCCTATTGAACACTCAAATACTCTACTCTCTTAGGTTAACTAAGCCCATGAGCATCCACAGGTGTGAGGTACAAACATGGCTCATGCCCAACAACAAGGAGCCCATGTTACAAGATCTGAGTTGGAACTTTAACTCGCCATTTTTCTATCACTTCTTGTTCCATTGAAAATTCTAACAGTTTCCATCCATTAACTAAACCCACCAGAAAGAGAACCAGAAAATCCTGAGAACCCAGTTGAGTTTTCTTTGGGGGAATACAAAGTCCCATCTCAAATCATCTCATACAAGGCCAAGCGCTCACAGGAGTCGGCTGGCAGACAGAACTTTACATTTTCACTTTTTTTTCTCTTCAGTTTAAAACTCACAATCCCAATGAAGAAGATACAAAACATTTGAAAACCCCATAAATAAAAATCAAGAGCGTATACTATCGTTAGAGCAAAGTTAAAATTTTGTATAGATAAACCTTTAGAGGTAAGGACCCCATCCAAAGTACATTCGACCCTAAGAAAGAAGCAATAAAGTTAGTATCAAACAGAAATTCAATAAAGCGAACATGACAGTGACAGAAGGAAAAAGGCTATCAGAGGATACATACCAGATGTCGATTATCCCTAGCTTCATTGATTAAACTATCGACTTGGTTTTCAGTACTCATTTGCCGGTCACATTTACCAGAAACAGATGAAGTGATCTGAAAGCCAGTGAGCTTCCGACTGATTGGTTCCAGAGCTTTCTTGGCTTCTCTGGCAACATATTCTTCAGTTGGAGCATCGGCTCCCTTGAGATCAAAGACAGAGACAGAGAGATCAAGTCAATACAAGGTATTGGAAGGTCTGATTCTGTCTAGGAGAGAAGCCCTTACTTTGCGCTTCGAGACACTCGGCATCCAATCGACTAATGGATCGTGAACAAAGGTTTCTAAGACACTCATTAACGAATCCTTATTATTCCTCAAGATGCCCATCGTTACTTCACTCGCTCTTCTAAACACGCCCTCAACCCCAGTTATCCCCAAGCCGGAAACTAAGTTATGGGTCAATCTGAACGGCACGTTTTCAGATACTTCGAACGTCCTTCCTTTATCAAACAGACAATTGAAATCGACGTGGACCACATCGCCATTTGTTGAATCGAACAGAATGTTCTCTCCATGTCGATCACCAAGACTGAAAAAAGTCAAATCGGTTGACAACACCGTTAGTCAAAGGTTTCACTGGTTTTGTTTTGCAAAGATAAACTTACCCAAGAACGAATCCAACCATCGACATTACGGCACATGTTCTACCATACGCTTGTCTGCTTTTCAGCCATGAGGTTGGATCAGGAAAATTGTTCAAGAACCACTGATGAAAGACGGATGGGAACCTGATTGAATGTGGAAAATGGTGAACAACAATTAGTTTTGGGGCACACAAACATGCTCCTAAGAGCAAGTTCACAAATACTGTGTAGTTTCAGAAAATGAACTGCTTACTTTGGCAAAATTTCTTTCTCAAAAATATCTTTAACCTTGTCCCACTCGTCCCGATATTTTCTGATTTTTTCGCTCAATAATTTCAGCTCGTTGGACTGATCAAATGAGACGGAAAAGAGAAGATTCCGAAAAACCGGCAATAAAGAATAACGGTTAACATGTTGAAGTCTCCGAGCGCCGTCAAAAAAAGGTTGGATGAAAAAGACGGGGGAAAAAAATCTTACCCATAATTGAATGCCTTTAGGAGCATATAGGCCTGTCAAAAGATGTCGAAACGGAATGGTATTGGATACCCATTCAAGTAACCCACATTCTTCGTTCAACACAACGACGGCATAAGTCCGAATATCTGCAATCGAATCGACGATTGTCTTAGTAAATCTAACCTGTGTCAATCTGCGTCTCTAGATGGATGGAAGCCCATTTTACTGCACCAATAAATAGAGAAGATGAAACTGACGAAGGTTACGCCGTCTGGATTCGGAATCTTTCTTGAGTAACTTGTTGATCATCGAATTGAATTCCATCAATCGAGCATCCTTCCGTAGATCATCTTTCGGTTTGCACAAGAACGGATATACTTTCCCATCTGAGCCAATGATCCCAATCTTTCTGGGTTTTTGCATCGAACTCATTATCGTAATCTTATCAATAAAACCTGTAACAGAAAAACGATCCGTCTTAGTTTTTTTGTTTTTCGTTCCGGTTTGATATCGAGCCAAGCCAACTAAAGCTTACTACTTATGCATGGTAAATCTGACGGAAACGGTTGGTGGTTTGCAAAATTGACGTCGTTGGGAGGTAAGCTTGCAATCAGAGAATGCTGCACAGGTATCAGTAAGTCGCAAGGGGTACATTGTTGAAGTGCTGGAAAGACGTCGTGTAGGCTCAGATGCTTGGCGTTGTTCTTGATAGGAAAGTTACAAAGCCTCAACAGCTGCTTGACTATCTTGCGACATTGTGCGATCTTGGAAGCTAAGTTTTGTGGCTCTAATTGCGGGTTTGCGCTATTCGCAACATCCTATGGGTACGCGATTTCCAATTAGATTGTATGGAGGAAAGCTGTGCGTTAGTCACCATCTCTGTACGGCTTGCTGTTCAAATCACTTGACTTACCGTTGCATCTTGGAGTACCCATGTGCATCTACTGGACCGAGCCGAGTTTGAGGATTCTACACCTGATACCATCGCCCACAACGCTTGATCTGGGTATGATCTTAACACGTGGGTTAAGATTTTGTGGACGATGGCTTGTACATGTGTACTTTTGTGCATCACTCGTGAAACAACTTGCGGAAGTACGGTTAGCCACTGGTCAAAACGACAAGACAGAAATGGAAACATTGTTAATACGCTTGCGTGAGGGTTGCAAAGAAGGCGATAAGGGGAAACTAACTTCAAAAACAGGCAGTCGTTTGACGGCATTTTGTATGACTTTATCCACACGAAGAAATATTCCGCCCAAATCATCGCCACGCAAAGCTGCTGTATAATCTTCTTGGTGAATTTCCACCCCGTCCCTTTTGAGAAATAATAAAGACGCTCTTCAGTTAGGTGTCCGAGTATGGGGTTCTTGAAAAGCAAAGTAGAATCGAACTGACTTCCTTCCTTTACTTTCGACTTTAGTGAAAATTGCTAGTAGGTTGGGATGTTCACCAAAACTGAAGTATAGAGTGAGTAATCTGGGTAAGGCTTGATAAATAAATTTCGTCCCGAACATCAGAGATTTCTGGAAGTGTTTACAACAGTGGTATGTCCATTCTGCCACTGTACTACGACTGATATTCATTGTCGTTAAGTTTTTTTTTTTTTGAATGAATGAATGAATGAAACAGAGCCAGAAGGATATGTCCAAACTGATCAACCAAAAAATTATCCCCCACAGGAAAAGTCATCTCTGGAATAAATTTTTGCACCCTCACCTTTGATTGGTTGAAGTACGAATAGATGGTGCAACCTGAGAAGCCTTATCGTCGTAAAAACGACCGAAGTAATAATGCGAGCTGGCCCAGCTATTTTTTTATTTTTTTATTTTTTTTTATTTTATTTTTTTATTTTGTTTTATTTTGGGGGAGGGGGGGGGGGGGGGGCGCGAAATGAATGAAGTAATGAATGTATTCATGAGCTCACAGATAAATGTCTAAATTCAGGAAAAACAAAACTAACTTAGGATTTTCAGCACAAACTTTATTAAAGTGTTCGATAATGTGGTTGGCGGAATAACGATCGACCTCATCCATCCATCGGACCCTTTGCAACGAGGCCTACAACAACGAAGCTGATTTAGCTCAGCAATTTCGAACTCCAGAGGTCGAAGACGGAGATCGACTAACCTTTGCATAATCGCGCGGACAAAGTTGATTCAATCGATCAAAACTCCCATCGATCAATTTTCCGGGGCTGTTTTTCAAGTTGTCGTCCAGCTTGAGGACCGCTTTATATAGTTGATCTTCCATCTTCATCAATTTGGCTTGTTGGATAAAAGCGGTTGGGGCCTTCAATTCTGAAGCCTGAAGAACAGCACTATATGCCGTTTGCAAATGCCCTGCTTTCCTTGCGATCTTTGCCGTTTGAACCCATAATTGGCCGACGGCCGGCGCTCCTCGAGATCTAAGTTTTAGATGATATCAGGCCTTCTTTCTATCAAATTTACAGTCGAGATCACAAGAAATGCATCACTTCACCTGAGTTGAAATGTAGCTCTCCTTAGCCGCAATAGTTGCTCGCGATAACGAAACGCAGGTGAGATTGATTCCAACCGGAAATCCAAATGATTCATGAGGTTACGATCGGTCGTTAAGCCAGCTTTTAGTCCAATTTTCGAAAGACCAGCGGCAGGTGAGGAATCGCGACAGGCTTGGTCGATCAGCGGCAATTCGTGTAAGACGTGCAAGTAGATCGCCGAGTCGTACATCCGTTTATACGCGTCTTTCCGAGAGGCTCCGAGGATCTGGTTTCCGAGCCGAATCCGGGCATCTTTCATGGCTTCATTGAATGACTGCTCATCAGAATTCAACAACATGTCCACCACCTTTCCAAAGATCACTTCAGGACTCTCGAGAGAGCCAACCTGAACTGCGCGTGTCAGTCCCTCCCAGTTGTTGGATACCAGGCTTGACTCGACCGAGAATGGTGCCAAGTCGCGTTCCCAGTCTGGATGGCTCTGAAGTACTCCCACAATATGAGCCCGCAAAGAATCTGTGATTTATGTATTTATCAGTTTATTAAATTTCGAAGAGGTTAGGCAAGAGGGAACCAGTAGAAAGCATTATACTTACCATAGTGACCAAGATTCCTCAAGCACCGAAGCAAGCCAAGATGCGACCGAAGCTCATCAGGGTGTCTTTGTAACTGTACTTCCCAGCAGCTCTGTGCCGAAGTCCACCGACCGGTTGACTCGTGTTCTCGGATCTGATGCGGGATAGATGGGGCAGTGATCTTAGCCGATATGCCTTCCATGCCATCTGGTTCATCGACAGCAGCATAGATTTCATGGGCCTTTTCGTAGTACTTTTGTAATTGTTCTTCCGGGGAAATCTCGTCGGGTGCATCGTCAACGATCATACTCTGTCCACTTGCGACTTGACCACCTTCCAGCTTGACGATTTGTTGTTCGATATTCAACAAAGCCCTCGCGTGATCTTTGCAATACAGAGCTGCGCTCGCAATTAATTCCGGGCTGATTTGACTCATGATCGATTTGACTCGCATCGTGTCCGCGTCTGTTTTGTGATCTCTCCTTTTAGCCCCGCCATGTTCATTAACTGCGCTTTGAGCTTTCTGTCTATCTCTAATCCATCGGCTGAAGTGGTCCATCAGACCGAAAATAGTCTATCAATCAAGAATGCGTAAGTCATCAACATCTCTTGAAGTACGGATGAATAAAATAGTCAGTCTCCACCCTCACCTGCGCTACAAGTTGCCTGCCTTCAGGGGAGAATCCACTTCGTCGTTCGACTTGGTCCTCTAAGACCGTAACGATTTCAAGTTTCATATTCTCCAATTCTTCTTGTGAGCCAGAGATAACGATATGAAGAGCAATATGAGGCAATAACTTTTGGGAAATCACCGAGTCACCGTTACGGATCGTACCCAAGAAGGGTAGGAAGATATCAGTCGCGTCTTTATTTTTGACCAAGGTGATTAATCTGAGTAACCAATTCTGCAACCAAGAATTATAGAGAGTCGTGTGACTATAAGTGGGCACATTATTTGATATATTGTTGGTGAACGAGAATCTGAATTTTGAGCTGAGTAAGGGGCTGATAGAATCCAAGATATGTTTGGGCATGGAGTGCCACTTCTTCTTGATCGAACTCGGCACATTTGCTGATTTTTTTGGATCGACGAGGTCATGAGTGAAGCCGCAAAATCTGAGCAATTCTTGGATAGCATAAGTGAGAAAGGTATGGAACCTTGAGTCGTGAGTGGACCGATACCCTCCAATCAATTCTGTCTGTAACAAGTGTAGCGCGAAGTTTACAGACTCATCATGATCAGAGAAATTCGAAACCAAAAACATTTCGCTCTTCTCATCACTGATCTCGCACCGATCCGGATCCACCGCCCCGACGGTACCTAGACATTCAAATGCCATACTTTTGATGTCATCCGAAGCATCGCTACATCGCGAAGTGACTCCTATCAACGCCTTCACGACATCACCAACGAGGTGATGAAACGTGTCGCCGGCCATAAGCATTTTCATTTTCTCCGGATCGTTCTCTAATAAGGTAGTGAGTTCTTTCAAAGACTGTCGAATGACAATCTCACTTTCACTATTGATTCGACCAATCAAGTTCTTCAGCTTCTCGGTCCATGTTAAATTGTTTTTAAGACCGGCCTGTTCTTGTACAATCCCTACTAAAGCTGGATGGACTCGCGGGAAGTCGTGAGAAGGAATAGCTGAGGTGGATAAGCCCGAAAGATCAGCGATGTCAAAAGCATAATGTCCCAATCTGTCACGTTGTCGAAGGATGTGTTGGAGCATTGAGATGGAGACTTCGATTTGGTCGGCTGTCATTTGGGGCCACACGCCTACGACGGCTGCCGTAATTTGACCGATGAAAGGCATCAAATCGTTCAAGGGGGTCACCTTGACGAAGATGTCCCAAGTTTGTAAAGTTGCGCTCCTCAAGACGGGGATGGCCAATGAGGCTTGCAAACTGGTCATGATTTGTGGAGTATAACTACTGACTCCCGAGTCAACGAGATAGATGAGATTGCCGAGGCCGTGCATGACTTTGATCTTTTCAGCCATCGTGATCTTCCCGCGTAAATCTTGAAGAGATCCATTCATGTACGACAAAATCGGCAAGATGTTCTCCCGTAACTCTTCCTGGATTTCCTTGTCACTAGAAATTTCACTCGAATCGGCCAGTGATTTCTTCAGTATGAGTGCTTTACGGAGCGCTGCTTTGACTCGTTCTGGGCCGCGTGATCGATCAGCTTCACTACCAACTTTTACGATCAATCGATAGTAGATCAGGCCGGCCGACATTTCCATCAATTTACCGATCTGGATTGAGATTTGGTTCGGATCGCTAGAATTCTCGCGGCCAGAATTCAACAATCTGTAGAAAATCTCCGCGCCTTTCTTGAGCTCCTTGGTCGTGTTTCGAGAGCATAACTCGGTTAGAATATCGGCTGCCTGATAGACTAACAAACCAGGCACGGTTTCCTCCTTGGCCTTCGCGATTGCTTCAATCGTGGTCGTGTTAGAGTTTAGGACTAGAAGAGGAAGAGTAGAGCGAGCGGTCGAAGTGAGAAAGATTTCTAGTGAAATCCCCAGCAGGTCGGCAAATAGTGTGGATCCATAAGAGTCAAACTTGAGATCAATCAACATGAATTGACTCAATGATGGGAGATATCGATCCAATGAAGCATAGATTGATAAGCCAATTCTTCTGCTGAAAAATGACATCTAGCCGTCACAAAAAAAAAAGAATCAGTTTAAAAAGGTGGTTGTCGCGGACCACAGTTGTTTAAGACTTACCTCAGTCTTTATAACACCGAGCAAATATGCGCATCTTCGACACATTTGTCTCAATAAGATGGTACAGATTCGATGACCAAGAGATTTATCGAGTTCGACGCGACCTTGATCTACCAATTCCAAGTCTGTGGCCCGTGTGAGCTCGAAGCAATGTACGATGCTGATGGCCAAAGTTTCTTGGACTTTCAACGAGCTGGCCTTTGCGAACGAACCAAGTTGACTGAGGACCGGATCTAGTTGAAAATCGGAGAGTTGACCTGCTGGCCAGATACTTAATAGATGTAAGGAATTCGAGAAGACACCAGCAAGCATGCGACTGTTTCCAATATGCACAAGTCAACAACCTGCTTGTCTTGATAATCAGGAATATTGATTGCTTACCCAGCAGCAATCCGCTCCATCCGGTTACCTCGTTCAAGCACCGATGCAATCCTCATGTTAACTTCCGATGTGCATACGATTGGGCTTTCCTTAATGGAACTTAAGTCACCAATCACAGTATGATTGAGTACGCGGGTTAGGAACCTGATGAATGCGAGCCGTGCGCCAGATTTGGCAAGTTGGATCGATTTTTCTTTTTTGGTCAATTTGTCAATTTTCTGGCTCAAGTAGCTCAACAAGTCTGAGTTATAACATAACATTATAGCACTAGTGAAAATACATCGAGGGAGAAATTGGGATTCTGATGACTTTGGCTTGGTTGGATCAAGATGAGACCGATCACAGGATGGGCATTGAAATAGATTTCTTAAATCATCCGTCGGCAAATACGCTAAATCATCGGAATTAGTTGCGTTCAAAAACCCTGGCTGCTCTAACGCCGAGTTGCATATCAAGGCACCTAGTAGATCAAATCCACGCTCCAGAGTTTGAAACATCTTAATTTGGGCTTCGTAATCCTCAGGTCGATGCGAGATGAGGCTAGTTATCCGTTCAAGAGATTTGAGTATGATCGGAGTCAAACTGCCTTTTCCCAGATCTGCTGGAAGTTCAGCGAGTGCGGAACAACTCGTGAGCAACGAAATCAGATTGCAGTGCAGGGTTGTTGGCGATGAGGTTGAATTGTTTGGAAGCTGGTGCTGAGAGCGAGATGGCAAAACATTCGTGGTAGCGCTGGTTTCATTATCATCATTAAATGAGAAAGGCCCAGCATGATCGAGTTCTTCAGGGTCTCCGCGTTTCCGTTTGCGTCTTGAGCTCGTCCTGGTGGTATTTAGTCGCAGGTGAATAGCCTGAAGGCTCTGGACTAGCCAGTGCAAGAATCTTCCGAGTTCTGTACAATATTTCTGTGCGCTTATCTGCTGGATCCACTTGGCAGTAAACATGGATAGTAATGACTCAAATCGGTATATTGATGTGTAGTCCATCAGTTCATAGTTGACATACGTCCCTTGAGATGTGTGTCTGTATTTTGCTCGGCCGTAGCGAGTATCCATGGGGCAGCACAGGAGCGCAAGAGACATCATTTGGAGGTTTGGGTTGGCGATATTTAAGGCAGCTTCACTGTTTGATAGCAAGTCTTCAATCATCGATTTACCATGCTTGACGACGAGTCGGGTTATTGATCCACTGGTCTGCGACATGCTCATCTTCCCGTTTTCATCCGCCAACCAACGCAGAATTTTCAGGAACAGCACGATGATGTTCTGTGAACAAGGCTTGCCCGCCAGTTGGCTTTGATCGCTAGATGTACTCGGGGCGAAAAGTTTACTGCATTGGTCGACAATTGCGCTGCAGATTTTATCTAATGAGGTTGGGCTTCTAGACTTGATATAGTTGGCGAGATGATTGGGCACTTCTTTGGGGGTCGTGACAAGGACCAACTGCGTGGGTTCAGTGGGCTCTTCGAAAAACCATCCCAGCATGTCTGTCAAATCTTCCAATACGCGTTGATCGTGGTCATCAGGAAATGATTTCATTGTGTATTCCCACAGGGTTATTAAGGCTTCGACGGCCGAGGGTATGGTTTCCAGGAAGTAGATTGAATGATGAATTATCCGAAAATGAATTCGGAGGCTGCTCAGAAGCAAGTGGATCGCAAATGGTTGAGAGATGATCGGGATTCTGAATGGCCTTTGCTCGAGCTTTTTGTACAAAGAATGTGAGCCATGAATTTAAGTCAGTTCCTTTTGCTGAAGTGGGACTAAACAAATGATGGAAGATGAACCTGAAATATGTCGACTGGATCTTGTGTCAGGGGTATTTGAGTTCTGCGATCAGTGCCTAGTAATTCAATATAGCCTAGATGATCGCTTCCTTCCATCCATCGCATGAGTCTCGATCGAATCTCTTCGTTAATTGTGGTCCAGAATTTGGCAAAATCGACTGCTCGAGCAGTTCCGACGGCTCGAATCTCACGGTCTGTTGAACAAAATAAGTAGTAGTGGATAGAGACAGAGGAGGCTTCCAAGCGATGTACAAAGTCAATTCGATCTGCTCGGAAATCCTCTGGTAGGTATTCCATCGGGGAGTCACGGATTAATGCAGCACAGTATAACATTCTGATCAATAACCAAATCGAGAGTTCTTCTTCTAATACGGCGGGGCTTGTATTCTCTCCCTCTGCCTGAGTTCGGGAAGTTGCACCTTGAGCTCGTTCGATTAAGTCCTGATGGTCTTTAGCTAGAAGAAATCGGCGAATTAGGAGTACGGGTGTCCGACAGAATTCTTGACCAAAGGTGAATTGAAGTACGTTCTTGGTGGCATCACTGAGGTCTTTCTGCTTGTGCAGAGCCATCTTTGTCTGCCATCGGTGAATACCAAAGAATTGATCGAGAGAGGTATTGAAGACCACTCGGATGAGGGCAGTGGCTTGCTCAATTCCCAATGAGCTTGTTGAGTGACCACCTTCGAGCGTAGAGCTAGGCCGGATGATCGACTCCAATATCCTGGCAGTTGAGGCGGGGGCTTCGTTGGTTCCGAAGGCATTATTCAAGGTCTGGAAAGACATTTTCTGATGGGTTTTTTTTATCTAACGGGATCCCGGATTGAATGAAACAGCGCAAATTGGGATATAAAGGTGATGCGCTACCTGGCCAAGAAGACGCGTCCTGATCAAGCTTCCAACGATCTACGATTTTTTGAGTCACCAGAAGAAAGCATGTTTGACAATGGAATTGAAACGCAAAACATGGGTTAGCTTCTTCAACATAAAGCGACGCGCATCTTTACAGTATTTTCTTTGTTTGTTTGAGGGACTACTGACCTGTATTTAAAGCATTCGAAAGGCGTTACTATGGTGGGAGGTAGTGAGGAACTGGGAGGCATATGTAGGATTTATGGTGGCAAGTGGATGACTTTACCCAAGACTGTTGAGGAGGAGAGAATGGCGAGGATGAGTGAAAGGATCACCCCAGAAGGGGAATGGCGCGATGGACTCTGTGACAGGCGGATGAGGAGCTGTCACAGCATCTGTCACTGGCTCCAGCCACTGCATACAACACCTTTTCATGGATATTCCAACTTTCCAAGTCTTCGAAATTCGAATCATGGATGAGGTCTGAAGGAACTGGAGCCGCTTTGGATTCGATGATTCTTGGAAATCTCCTCTCAGAGGGCCAACCCATCATTGAGGTCATACCGAATGAGCCACAAGAAGGGACGCCATCCCGCAGGAATACTTCGAAGACTTCGACAGGTGAGAGTTCGAAGTGATCTCACGAGGTTTGTGGAGCTCCAAACCTCGATGCCAATTTCCACACGTTGTTACAACCAGTCTTTTCTCTTGGATCCTCAAGAGTCAAGACTATGGCGAACGGGGTTGGTTCTGGCTCATCGGAAAAATTGCATAGCTTAAGAAGGCAAATTACCCCTTGTTGCCCAGCTTGAAAATTATTCATCTGGTATTAGTTTCATCTGAGCCGCAAGATTCTAGAAAATGCCATTGCCAACAATCATCAAAACGGCTGCAACAGGCCGTATGACGCTGGGTAATCCGCCCCCAGAAGATAAGAAGATGAACAGATTCCAGGACAGATAGCGATCACTAGCTTTCCGATCCTCACATGGGGCTCTCGGCCTCAGGGGCCGATGTCTGATTTCCTCTCCTCTCATCGTACTCGTAGCGTGGTCAAATTTACCTGGTCCCTACGTTGTCTCAACTCACTTGAGCTCAAATACCGTCTTGAAAAGCCTGAGCATACTTTCCCCGTCCATAGGGTTCAAGAGGACGTTTTCTCTGTCCTAGTGATTCCTGCAAATATGTACCCATACCATCACAATGTGCCGCAGAGTCAAACCCTGGAAAGGGAATCAAGCAAGCCAAAAGAGCCACGGAGAAAGCACACGACTGGTACTGACTCTCGGAAAAGCCGGGAAGGGTCCCTACTGAGGCTCACTAGGGCTCACTATAATCTGTCCTTGTGCCGTACGGGCTGTGCTTGTAGTAAGCTTGGATGAGTTCATGTGAGGGTGCAGAGCATCCCATCCATCGCGCATTCGGCCCCATTTGACCCGTTCTCCAGGGAAATTGCAAAAGTATATATAGACGCGCACGGTTTCCCCATCTTCGCCAGACCCAAACTTCCAAGTGACTCCATTCCCCTCCAAAGCTTCTCTTGATTTCCTCATCCACATAGCTGATACAGACTGAGTCTCGACAATTCGGAAAGCTTGAAGCCTTATAACACCCACGTGTTTCCATCTACCATGCACTTCATGACTTTAACGATTACTTTCTTGGCCGTGACTTGCGGTCTTGCCACTGCCCAACAGCCATGGCGCGACACCTGGAACATACAATTCCACTGTCCGGTCGGTCAGTTGGCACTTTGTTTCAGGGGGCATTCGGGTGAGTGCAGTTCTCTAGGCGGTTCATGCAACTCAGCACCTCATTTGACTCGAATGATTTTTTGCTTCGTGTTTCTGGTGGCCTCAAAAGCCATAGTTGCCACCCCAGTTACTCGCGGGAGTGGAAACCCCACGCCCACCACTTTCAACTGCTATAACTCGAACGCGGATAGTAAGGGGTGCTGTCCCCCTGGCACTGGCGGTGTGTTGAGCACGGTGAGTATCTTGAGTTGACGAAATCAACTGGATCAGACATTATAAGCGATTCTTGCTGACTATAACATACTCTGAATCACACCACAGTGGTCGCCTTGGACCGCGCTAGACGCTCATGATTATAATAGTTGCACCATGAATACTGAGAACCCCCCTCCCCCCCGCCGTAAAGGTAGCGGCAAGTAAGCCAAACCCATGATGGAAATGGCCCATTCTGACCTGCCGATTCCTCAAAACAATATGGAAGAGGAGGGGAGTAAGCCTTGAAGATGTGACTTTTGAGCATCTAGCTATCATGTACTTTTCTTTCTTCTATTGATTTTTCTTTGTCTGCTTGACCGCCAATCAATCACTTCAAAATTCATGAGCTATCATGATAGTAACACTTAAAGAAAGCAAAACAGTGAGCTCATTATCTGATCTGCTACATATCATACACCAGACCGTGGTGAAGCTAAATTACCACAAACCTAGCCCCTATTGAAGAGGGCAAGTGAGGTAGAATTGAATTGACAAACGTGCCTTTTAATTTGCTTGGAATCATGAGCTCTGCCGCCACGAGTTCCGGTTTGAGAACTTCCGCCCTCCAGCTCAGGCTTTAGATCTAAGCGGGAATCTGGCTAGCTATGTAGTAATGTAACTTGTGTCAAGTTTTCAGGTGTGAGGTTACGGTTGTGAGCTACTGGTTACTTTGACCCTCAACTATCTTGATTCTAAAGGCGGAAATTTGTCATCAAGTTGGAAATGAAGGAAACGACAAATTTGATGAATTGCATGTGTTAAGATGAACTTGTTGGGTTACAACAACTAGCGTTGTCGGCGCCACCCCACCGGCGCGCCAAATGCCAGTCCGGCATGTGGCGGCACCGCAACGCACCCCAAGTCGCACCGCCACCTTGGTGCAAATTAGTCACGCCTTCCCGTCGCCCAATCCGGCCCGATCCGTCCCATCCGGGCCGATGGCCGTTATTCTGGCGATGCTTATTGCAGCCGTCGTCGCGGGAAAGCCCGGTGAGGGTGGTGTGGAAGGCTCATGTTCAAATCTCACCCGGGAGATCGTCAGGTTCGCTTTGCTGTCAGTGTAAGAGCTTATTCCGGCTCACTCGCCGTCCATGATGTCAAACATTTGATGAAGTGGTTGCATGAGGTGAAATCAAGTGTCGCAGGAGATTCAATCAAATTTATGTAACCCGGCGAGATAGTTGGCTCTCCAGGTGTGAAGACAAAGCTGAAAGAAATGAATGTGGGATTACGATTTTCCTTTGGAGGGGAGGATGAGCCTCCCTTATGCCCTTACATCGCCACCCATTCTCGTGTACTCTCCACCACTCTCCTTGTGACCACCAACTACAATCCTTTACTACTAGCTTTCTCTTTTGAAGTCCGCAGAACTGAACCACCTTCGCTTAATCAAATACACATCTCTTTCACTTCGCCAGGCAAAAGGGTCTTGCTTGCTGGAGCTAATCAGTTCTAGCCCTAATTCCTCAGCCGAAGGCCACCTCGGTGTCCTGACTCACAAAGACCGTCGCTCCTGTTTTTGACAAGATGCTTGCCCAACCTCTGGGTAGCTGCGGGCTACTTGCGGCTGGGTGCTTATTGTTCTTATACCAACTTGCCGGCGTAACTTCCTCCGACATTCGCACCAACGGCAACAGGTTTATAGTCAAAATTGACCCTAAGAAGACGGTAAGTTTTATGACTACAATCATTTTTTTCTTTTTCTGCTTGATTCGAGTGTTAAGCGACCAGCCACGTTGACTCCAAAAAATCCTGACACGGCATGTTGAACGTTACAGGATTCTCTCGATGATTTCTGCCACCACTTGAATGCAATCAACATAACCCACAGTGTCGCCCACGATCTCACTGGTATCTCTCCGGATAACTTTTACGGTGCCTCTCTATACTTGGACAACCCTAATGACGTGCACGCATTGGCGAACCTTGATTCTGTTCAGGTAAGTATTTCTCTTGTTCTGAAGCATGAGTTGTGCATGGTTGCAGGCAAGATCTGATGGCCAATTCAATGACATAACGATGCAAAATTAAACAGAGCGTCACCCCCGTGACCCCCATGAAACCAATCTCGCCAGTCTCTCAACACATCCTCACAAAACCTCCCCCGGATGGCCAGAGCCCCGATGGCTTCACTCCCCAGATCCAGACAAGGGTGTCAGAACTGCATGCGAAGGGTGTATTTGGGGAAGGTATCAAGGTAGCATTCCTCGATTCCGGCATTGATTGTGACCACCCCGCTTTGGGCCCAGGCTTTGGGCCTGGTCACAAGATTGGGTTTGGCTACGATCTTGTTGGAGAGGATTTCGATGGCTCCAACAAACCTGTTCCGGATTCGGATCCTTGCACACAGTGTGGTGTAAGTCTTGGTTGAATAATATTTAGCGTTCCACTTCTAAGACCTCGCGTTAGGCCGCGTCGATTGACCCTTCAATTGCACCCAACAAACTAGGTTCACGGTACTCACGTAGCTGGAATCGTTGGAGCTAAGGATGTAGGTTATGGCTTCCAAGGTGTTGCCCCCAATGCCACTCTGGGGATGTATCGTGAGTTACCCGTCACCCTTACCGATTGTCATCAGGCCGACCTTTACTAACGTGACAGGACTTGATTCCCGTCTCCAGGCAGTAAGTCGAGATTCGTTCGTCATTTCTCCGAAGGCAACCCATTGAAATCATCACTTTTCACGTTCGATTGCCTACCTCAGTCATGGGCTGCGACAAACTTGGTTCGACCTCCAATGACATTGTGATGTCCGCGTTACTGATGGCCGTCCGTGATGGGGGTATGTCTCCAGAAGCTCCTCAGATTCATCCCAAGGATGAATGAATGTTCATGTTTCTGTCTCTATTCCTCAGCCGATGTTATCTCGGCATCCATCGGTGGCCTCGGTGGCTGGTCAAAAGGCGATGCATTGTCTGATCTAATCAACAACCTGGTTTCCAAGGGGGTTGCCCTAGTATTGGCAGCTGGGAATGAAGGCGACGTAATGAAGACCTTCTTTTCCATCCAATGTAATTATGTGCATCTTATTGTTGTTTCTTTTTGCTTCATAGGAAGGGCTATTCTATGCGGAAACCCCGGCCGCCGCGACGAATTCCATTGCGATTGGATCCGTCGAATCCAAAAAGCAGATTGTTTTCCAGCTCAAGACCTCTTCTGGCAGAACAATCCCTTATCATGGTAGCGGAGTTTTCAACGGGACGGATTTACCTTTCTACGCCACCTCGCCCACCTCGGACAACCCGAGTGATGCTTGCCAGCCGCTTCCATCAAACACTGCCTCTTTGGCCGAACACATAGTCGTCATCCGGAGAGGGTGAGGTCACCACTTGTTCTTTCGCACATCATCTTCTTCGAGCTTACCAGCACTCTATGCCTTCCTCGAATTGCTTAGTGGATGTAATTACGCGCAAAAGGTTGAAAATGTTGTTGCAAAAGGGGCATCTCGGATTTTATTCTATATGGTATGTTTTTCTATCCCGTCACACCTTACCACTTGCACAGACAAATTGACATTCACCACCTCCGTCAAAAGAATTCAACAGAGAAGGCTTCTCTCTCCAACTTCATTTCCGGTGCACAAATTGCAACTCTGGCTAAGCAGGACGGCGAGTCACTCGTGTCTGAGCTTCGAACGAACCCGAACTTGAAAGCCACCTTCTCCCCTGAGCATTCTTTTGGTAAGATGAGCTAGTCTATGTTATCCGGACAACGTCGAAATATTGCTGATCTGAATTTCAATTGTATGGAACATCAGAGGCTGCGGATGGTGGAGGATTGGTTAGCAACTATTCGCAGTAGTAAGTGATTGTAATTTTTACCAAAGTCCCGTTGCGCCTTTGCAAATGAAGTTTTCTCTACAGTGGTCCATCTTACGACTCCATGAACATCCAGCCCAACTTCCTTGGAGTGGGAGGCAACATCCTCTGTGAGTTCACGCGCTTGATACACGCAATATCCTTCCCTCACTAAGCACACTTTTCTTCAACAAAAGCAACGGTCCCCAGGAACATGGGAAGTTATGTACGTTGGCAATTCTTAGCTTAGCACTTGCTGTACCTTATTCATCAAATAATGCGATCTTCCACAGGCCACAATGAGTGGAACTTCTATGTCTACCCCACAGGTTAGCCATATGATCGCTCATGATGCAGGTAAACAATTCTCAGTGACTGAAACCTTGGATTTTTTTCCAGATTGCCGGTATCACGGCTCTCATAAAAGCCGTCCGAGGAAAAGATCTCCAGGCGTTGAAGCTCAAAAATATCTTGTCCACCACTGCCCAACAGGTTCCAGCTGGGTCGGGTCAGAACGACATTCAGAGTGTGTTGGAACTTGCTCATTTCCTCTTTTTCGTCCCACGTCGCTGATCTTCCGATCATGTCACAGCTACTATCCACGCTGGAGGCGGCCTTGTGGACGCGTTTTGTGCAAGCTACGCCAAAACCGTCTTATCAACCGATGCTATCGCGTTGCATGACCTACCTAATTTGAAATCTCAACATTCCTTCACCATCACCAACGAGGGTGATCAAAGTTACTCGTTCCGAACGGGGCATATTCCTGCGATCACTGTCAATACCTTCCAGCCCGGATCGCACCGAGTCTCTACCACTGTCGAAGCAGTGCCTGGCTCGCCAAGCGCTCAGGTGCAAGTCAGCCCATCAACGTTTACTCTAGCGGCTAAAGGCAGTCAAACCATTCAGGTCACTTTCACTCCGCCGAGCGGTCTGTCTGCAGAGCGTTTGCCTGTTTACTCCGGTTACGTATCACTCGTAGGTCCTTTCACCTTGTCTTCTCAAGTCGTGCATGGGTTTGCGCGGTTGTTCAATGGGCGCCCTTTCAGATCTCGGACGCAGAATGTGAGCATCACACATTACCGTACTATGGCATAGCAGGTGTCATGAAGAACACCAAAGGTGCGTATCGGTTTTGTCCAATGTATGCTTGACTCGGCTGCCAACTGTGCTTTGCCTCGACTCGCTAGTCCTCGACGCCGGACCCGACACTGAAGATTCCAAGCAGCAAATTCCACGCCTTACTGATATAAATCGTCAGCCGCTCACCGGTCCCGTCACGTTCGACGGAAGCCATGGAATCGTCGTGAGGTATCGCATGGCTTGTACGTCGGGCTTTTCGTTATATCAAAGATCTAAACTTGAGGCTGATGATTATTCCGCTTCCTAAGTCGGTTCTCCTTACATGAGAGCGGATGTCATAAGCGCAAACGCTACCCTCGTCAGTGAGAGTCCGTCAGTAGCTTCAATGCAAGCAATGCCAGACATTGGGGCGAATTTCACGCTTTCAAAGGGTAGCTTCATGGGAGTTAATCTGATCGGAATGATTCCGACTAGCAATTCTACGTATGCCCCTCGAACAGTGTTAGTGCACAGTCTTCATGAGATCCCAACGGGCAGCGCGTCATGATGTTCACCATGTCCGCTTGCTTTCTGTATCAACAGATCCACTGACACCGTTGTGCTGCCTTGGACTGGAACCATAATCCCACCTGGAGAGACTCAAGCCGCTGTCCTCATCCCGAGTGGGTACTATAAGATTTTAATTCGGTAAGCATCAGAGAGACGCATCATTCAATACCCATTGGGAAATGAACATCACCGCTTACATTTTGCGGCATTATCCAGTGCTCTCCGAGTAAACGGAAACCCTTTTGTCGATGCGGATTTCGACTATTGGCTCTCGCCAGTGATAAGCGTCGCGGGAGCTGCCCTCCGTCAACAACCAAATCCACAGTCTCCCAACTCACAAGGAAGCTCCCGCTCACCACCTGCCCCCCTAGACAATCAGCCCCAACTCGGTCCCGTCAACTACCCGCCTACAGCCGCACCTGCGTACTACCCTTCTGGTCTCGGGAGCACATATTACCCGCGAGCCATCTCTCGAGGTCGCACCTTCTAAGAACTCTTGTTTAATCATCCAGCTTTGTATGCTGGCCCTCCTTTAATTCCACTCTGGGTCACAGATGATTATTGTTTTGGGTCATTTTGTAGTTTGTGTGGTAATCACCTCGACATTGCATCAACATATCACATTGTTACATTCACTCTTTCACTACATTTAGGATTTTTTTTCTGTGCAACATACATGTTTCTGATTTTGGAATCATTCATAGAGACCCTTTCAACCAAGAACTCAAGAACAAATAGTTCTCATCATCGTGAAGAAAAACTCTACCACCAACACTCTGGATATAGAACAACAATTATTGCCAGAGGTCAAGAAGAAGACATCTGTTAGTCATCACCTGTCATCACAAATACAAATTCATCCATTAAACTCGTTGGCTCTTCACATAGTTCTTACAACGCAAAGTTACTTTCAATAAGTCTCAGAAGAGTGTCAAAAGTTACAAATTGACACTAGTTCCGCAAGGAATGTTGTATTCAGTTGATGTTAGTAATTGATAGCGGGAAATAAATTCAAGGAGATGAAAGGGAAGACAAATGAAATTGATTCAACAGAAAGGACTGACCCAAGGTAACTGATCTGGTCGAGGTAAATAGGGACGTTCTTCCTCGGATACAACGATCAACGCCAACCTGAACATCCAAAAATACGTGACCAACTGGCTTGCAAGTTCTTGAATAACACGCAACTCATCCTCATGGTCGTTTCTTCGATCATAGAAGTTACTCATAGCCGAAATAAATCCAGGTAATTCTTGTCGAGGAAATTTGAGTTTTTCGAGGATGTTGGATTTCATCAGATTAATCGATGTTTTGCCATCGTTAAGGATTGTTCGGATTCCATTATCCAATTGCTGTTTGTTGATGATGGGAATCGGTGGTAGGTCCGGGTCATGGATTTGGTTGAATGCGCGTGTTGACATGATAAAATCATCTCTGTACGTCCGAGCTTCGTTAATCGACGGTGGACTGAGGAACCAATAGGTGTGCAAACTGAGCCAGATCGCTATGTTCACATAGCCCGTTGGATTTTCGAGGCTGTCGTACTGCCGGGCGACAAGTTTGGAAACTAATTTTCTAAGACCCTCGAGATTTGAGGTCGCTGCCTTGCTGGTGAACGTCACAAAGAAGCCTGTAGATTTTGTAAAAGACCGGAAAGCCGAACAGTTCACTCCAGGAACGCTGTTTCTCTTCGTTTTATTGGTTAGAGACTACTGACCTTGATGCCAAATTTGGGATAGCTGCATTGATCCAGCTAAAAATCTACTTTGACCATTGTCACCTGTACAAAATTGATTGAAATTCCCAAAGACGCACACTCGGCAAGGAGGTTGTTGAGGGATATGACGCAGGAATTTCTCGGCACTATTAGATCGGTTATCTGAGAGCCAGTGAATCATATCAGAGGCGGGAAAGATGATCCAATCAGAAGGGGAGACATCCTGCAACTTCTCCGAAAAGTTTGGGTCCAGCCAGCCGAGTCGTTTCGGTTTTGCCGACGAGTTTTCCACAAGGTATTCGATTACCTGGACTATTTCTTGTGCGAGAGTTTGCCGTTGGACATTTGCTAAGCCGCTTGCTCTTGATGCCTCTCGTTTTGTTAATGCCTCGGTGATGACATACACGTTTTGGTCTTCGGTTGCGACCCCAAAGCTACTTGGGACCTTCCACAACTCACAAAGGAGATCGTAGACATCGGCATTGTTTAAGGTAGACAGTTTCCTTACTTCCGTCTTCAGGTACGCGGTCACCCAACCCGGAAGCTCGACCCAATAACGGCGACGCTCTGGCGGCAATTCATAACCGGAGACATCTCGACTAGGAGCTCTGGGTTCGGTTTGATAAAACGACATCACTGTGAATTTCGATCGACGGTTCTCGACAATCGATATTAGCCATGAAGGTGATCATGACAGCACGATACATACCTGTGGAAGACTTACGGGAAAAACGGGCTAGATCCAACAAGCAACCGTAGACACCGCACCGTAAGGGCACCCGACAAGGGGAGAATGATTGGTCTTGATGTAGGTTCTATGTCCCTCCGGCGCCGGTTAACCAACATGCAAACACCACTGGGGGCCGGGGCTTTGCAAGTTAACTTTCTAAGTTGAACCCTTCAGCACGATTGCACACAAAGGATATCAATGCAGGGCGAACTTGACGTAAGTCCCCTTCGACCCTGTTGATCAACTTTGGCAGCCTTTTTGAGAGCAACAGCATCGCAGTGCTACAATGTGCTCCAGGAGCTACAACTCGTATCAACAGTAATCCTTGTCGCAGAGCGCAATCATACGGAGTAAGAACGGAGCAACTGAGCCCCTCAATTAATCCTTTCACCCAGATCGGCTTCATGGAAGAAGACGGAAAACATCAATAATAGTTTCCAAGATTACATGAGACTTCAGCACTCTCCCGACAAGTCGACGGATCGACCCGCTTCCCTCTCGATCGCCGGGAGCAACGGCCATCAAGAGACCTTCTATGTCTGGTAAATCTGGCCATTGAGAGGAGCATGAGCCCACTATGAAAAAAGGTTACAGAAACTCAGCTCGAATCCTCGATGGTCGGTTCAGCCGGTCAGTAAATGGATTACGCATCTCTCTGTAACCCGTTCGGCCGATCATCGAGTGGAGTCTCTCGGAGACACTACGATATCCTCCCAATGGCCAGCTGAACCGGCCATCAAGATTATTGTGTACGTACGCACTCCTCTTCGCCGGTCATCAAGTGCAATGTGTACTCCGCTCAACGCGCCGGACCAACTCATGACAGCCGGGGTGGAACCGTGAAAGCGCGAGTTCAGAGCTTTTCTGACAGTCGAGGATACCGGCTGATATGCGACTCCGGCCGACTGCATCCGGCACAATTGGATGTCCGGCGTTCGGTTCAACAGGCCTCACAAGCCAACGGCAAAAACAAGCGCTTCTTTTCTTCAACCGGCTATCAGACTGCTCTGCGGTTGACCCACTATCTTGGATTCCTGAAATCCTTCATCACATTTACCCCAGTAAGCATCCTATAGGATAGACAAAATGAGCCAAAACCCCAAAAATTGTACTTTTGAAAGAGGTGTTAATTGGTCATTTTTTCCTCAAATGTTACTCTCAAAAAGGGCCATTTTGGTTATGCAAAACTTCCCAAAAGTAGTGAACACTTTGACTTCAGCCAAGGTCCCAACATCTTATTCGTTTTTGTGTTTTTTTCAGCCAATTTTTGCTCAAGGTTACTCTTGAAGTTCTGTCTTGACATGAGTCAGATAATTCCCAAAGCAAAAACCACCCTTTGGGCCACCATCCCCCAATTGAGGGTCTTAGAGAGCAGAGTTAATCAAAATCCAAGTCTGGAACCAGAGCAACTTGTAGGCCCTGGAGATTGCCCCTCTGCTTCAATGTCGGTGCTGACCAGACACTGTGCCCCAGAAGTTGCAGTTCTGCAACATGAGAGGTCTGCCAACATGATTTGATGTGTCAAGGGTATCCCAGTGTAGTCGGGATGCAATCAGCCAAGTTTCAATTATGTTGGCAGTGTGCAGCAGTGTGCAGCAGGTCATGTTGGTCAAGAACCTCAAAATGGTATATACTGAAAGATTACAAAAGTCTAAGATACTTTTTCGTGTTGGATTAAGATCAACCATAAACATGAAAGAACAAAATTTATGATGTATTTTGGATTTACCTAAGAGCAGTTAATTGGCTGTTCTTCGTTAATGATTTGAAGAGTAATAAAATGTAGTCTTCCTCTTCCACAAGGTAGTGTAACAACAAGGATGAGCCAGAAGTTACAGCTCACAATGCAACTAGTGCAAGTTACAGACTGACTACTTCAGTTATCCAGATTAATTAGACCATCAGGGATTGGTGCCTACTCTCTCTTTAAATTGGGTGGAACAAAACTCAATTTAGTCAGGGTCTTGGTTAATCAACTCCCAAGAATCGGAGAGTCAACTCCCAAACCCCAAAACCCCCAAATTTTCCACCAAATTCCCTGCAAAATGGGAGTTTATCCCCCAAACCCCTCAACGGGTTTGGGAGTCAGATCCCCAAGATATTTAATTAAAAAAATGCCAACCGCCGAAGGAGTTGGGGTCAAGGCCCCACAACCCACTGGGTTTTGGGGGTTGGCTAAGATCATTCACATTGGTCTGGTTAAGTTTTAGGTTAGGAAACCTGGGTTGGAGGTCCGGGTTAGCTAGCCTACTGGTGTCAAACGCATCAGTCTGGGTTAACAAACCCCAGGAGGACAACTCCCCGCAGAATCACTAAGTTTCGGGTTAGTGATCGCTAAATTTAGCGACCACAAACCTGAAATCAAACTTTGGGTTAGCTAACCTGTTGCTAACCTCGAATCGGTGCAAGTGCACAAACAGGCTTGGTTGGGTTAACTTGCCTTAACCCCGCAATTTAACCCAACCAATGCAAATGCTCTAACCAAAAAGAGCCTGTGACGGCCGGGAGGATTCCTCCCAGCCGCTGATGACACACCTTCCAGCGGCTCACCATTGCTCCTAATTGCTGTTATTGATTTGGTAATCAAGCTGCAATCATGGAAATCAATGAGAATAATAAGTCCACCTTGTTCATCCTTCCTTCCTCCTCTCTATCCTTATTTTGGTTTAATTTGATATGTTCAACATTCTGCTTGTTCCTCTTTATTTTCACTTTCTTCTAGCCTGCATTTTAATCCTGCACCTAGAGCTGGCAAACCGTTGGTTTCTAGAAGGGTTCCAGAAGTCAGTGCAAAATTCTTTTCAAGCTCAACATCCACCTTTGAAATTGACTGGATATATTCATTATCTTCTATTTCTATGTGGGAGTGGTAATCAATTGTCACTTATTTGTTTATTTTGTTTACAACTTTTACCTTTCTTCAAATATTATTCTTTATTATGATGATTGGGATTTGAAGGATAAGTACTTTTTGTAAACAAATTGATAAATTCAAATTGATCATCTTATCTCCTCCTCACCTCCCCAAAAAAAGAGCATACATAAATGAACAAGAACAAGAACTGGAGCTTGGAAGCAAGAGAAAGAGAGAGAAAATGTGACCAGAGCAATTGTCAACGGCTGAGAGAAACACACTCAGCCTTCAAAAGTGTAGATCCTCCACGGCTGGGTCTGTTTCTCTTGGTCCTTGAGGGTGTACACTCTCAACCGCCAAGAGGTTCTCTCTTGGCCAAGGAGAGTGTACATTCTCAATGGCTGGGAGGTTCTCTTGGCCATTGAGGGTGTGCCATCAGTGGCTGGGAGGAATCCTCCTGGCCACCAGGGGATCTTTTTGGTTATCCAACCCCCAAAACCCAGTGGGTTTGCGGGCCTCAAGCCCCAACTCCTTTTGGGGTTATATTTTTTTTAATTAAATATCTTGGGGATCCAACTCTCAAACCCGCTGACGGGTTTGGGCAATCCACTCCCATTTTGCGGGAATTTGGTGGTTTTGGGGTTTGGGAGTCAGCTCTCCAATTCTTGGGAGTCAATTAAGCAAGACCCTTTTAGTCACGTCATTTATTTTTTACATAATTATTTGATCTGCAACTCATTCTTTAGCTAAGATTTTAGCTGAAGAATAGGTCACAGATCCCATACATACCTAAAAATCAAGCACTTGACTGAGACAATTTTGGTTCCACATGATTTGAAGCAAAAGCAAATACCAATGCCTGATGCTTCAATTTATCTATGTAGCTGAATCATTCAGTCTGTAAACATTTTGCATTGTTAGATGTAAATTCTGGACCCTCCTTGGTCGCAATTTCACCTACAAGATTCAATGAAGCAGCCTACTGCCTCAATCTGTCCCTTGCGGATTGGTAGGCGCGAGTTTGTGTTTTTGGCTCTCTTCAAGAAAGTTGAAGACATCTGGTAAATACAATTTTCAATCAGTATTCTAGACTTTTCTTTTGTCAATTAACTTGGTACTCACCTAGTATTCTTGCTAATGGGTTTGATAATATTGAGGTTGGTTGATTGCCTTGACCAATTGAAGTTGATTTGATTGCAGTGACCAAATCATGATGAATCAAAATCTGCTCATCCTTATTCTCCTCTGGATTTGGGACCATGTGCTCCAGTGTACATGCCTTGCTCTGCAGCCGGGGCAGATTCCCACACTCTTCTCATTTGGTGAGTTAGAGGCATGTTTACTTGGCTTGAGTTTCTACATATATACAGCCTCTCTCAGCTGATCAACACTGCTATTTCTGACCCTGTTTTCATGATTGAATACATCATTTTTTCCATGTAATATGTGTCCATAATATTCCTCCAGGGAATAAATTGGCTGACAGGAAGCTTCCAACAAGCACTATTTGGGTGCTGTATTCAATTTCAGTAACAACAAACAGGCAACAATTTGTTGGATTACAGAGAGCTGGTTAAAACACTTGGTTTCTACAAGAATGAGAGAGGTTGTAGTAATTTCCTTTGACTGAGATTTATTGAGGTAGTGACACGTGAAGGGAAAACAGATGAATGGATTGCAATGGAATGAAGAGGAATGAATGGAAACAAGCGGGTGAACAAGGTTGTATTTATATACACTAGTTATGTAAATACAACACAGATGTCGTCGTTGAGAAAAGAGAGAAAATGACAAGCTAGGGAGAGTCTTGTCCAAGGAAAGTCCTGCGTCATGACTTTCCTTGGTCATGGCGCTTGTCATGATGTAGTCGTGTGCGTAATATGTTGTTTTACGTACTGGGGCTACAACAAGATTTTCTTATATGAGAAATTGAAACTGGTAATCATATTTATCTCTAAGGATTTTGAAATATTCAAGGCTAATCTGCAATAAAAAGGAATGTAAGTTTACATCTTGTTACCATCTTGTTCTTACATTGAATTCATTCCAAACTGATAAATTACAAATTATTTTGAAGCTACAGAAGAGCTGGAATGATTGAAGGAGAAGGTTGAAATGCTTTTATTTCTCCTGGTATTTCAAATCACCTGAAAATATAACCGATTGATTTCTGAACAAATATGAGCAACATATTTCAACATTGCAATATTTTTACACAGCCCTCATTTCCCCCCCCCCAAAAAAAAAAAATGCTATGAGCCCACTTGTTTGTAAGTAAGCTTGCAAAGGTTTATTA